TTTTTTTTTTTTTTTTTTTTTTTGTATATAACGTGTCATCTTGATGAAGATATTAGGATCGTTCGAATAATCGTGACTTGAGATTGTCCCGCTGGTAACGGGATGCTTGCGGATTTGATATCCGTAAGAATCCAATGGAATTTTTTTTATTTCTATTTACTTTTTTCTTCGGGATGCTATTACTTTGTCTATGACTCCCATAAATTTTTTCGTGATGCAATTTCTAAGTGCTTCTTGGTCATTTTACGTTTGTGGATTTGGCCGAAAGATAACTAAGGTAGAAATAATACGCGATGGGTTATAGCTTATTGGTAATCGATGCTTCTTAGGAAGGAGCGCGGTAAAATCATTGAATTGTTGGCTGTTTATTTACTGCTCGAAAGTCAGCTAAAGCGCATGACGATGTTGCAAATGATTTTCACTGATAATACATTATACGATAGATTCATTAAGTCATCGCTAAGCTTATATCTCGTATCGTCCGATTTCCATATCGTTTGCTTCATCGTCTTCTCGCAGCCTTATCGGACTTTTGAGACAGAATCTGTATATTTTGTTAATTAGATTTTATATCTATATAAATATTTCACGACGAACAATATAAACATTGGTTGATTTCTCAATAATGGAAATTAATCGCCATTTACTATAATAAGCCACGTCCTAATGCAAGATGGATCCTATTTCTTGAGGATTTCATCATACGTAACTTAACCAACGTTTATATTCGATCACTTTTTTGTATACATCTGTACAGTTATAAATCGCGACAATGAACTCGTATATTCGCGTACAATATGCATATAGGAAATTATTTATTCTTATTTAAGTTTTTCGTGACGAAAAAACACGTCATATTGCTTCGTAATTTTCATTATATATTTTTTTTGGCAATTATATGTAATTACTCAAGTCGGGTGTAAACAGTCCAAGTGTTTCATCTCTTTGGTATTGTCATAAGATATTCTTTTTCTTTTGCGAAATTACAAAAAGTTTGTCGTTAATTGATTTACGTATAGGCTTTTTGGGCCACCCACGCTTGAACGACACACATTTATTTACGTAGCGGTCAGATTCTGACAAATAGATTCCGTAACTGAGCAAACATCACGCAAAAGTACGGGCACGATTCAAGTTGACGCCAAAGACAGAAAAATGAATCAAAGGGTCGTAGACGCACGTTACAATCGTCCTTCTCGCTAAGTGGCATAAGTATCCGTTAGCGTGCGCGCGGTGCCGAATTCAAAGGACGCAAAGCGAAAAGCTCTTATATCGCTTCCACAAAACTTTACGAAAAGCATTAAGAGCATAAATCCAGTTTGATCTTCCCTGAAAATACACGGCGTGAAAGAGGAAGTTATTAGACTTTTGGAAAATTTGAGAAATCGAATGCTTCTCGTATTTGCAACCCATTGGACTTTTGGTGTTTAGATTGAACAAAAGTAAAGCTCGTTCCCGCGTTACGTATACCGTGCGCACGCGCGAACGTGGATTTAAATTCCTGAGAAATAGAAAAGAAAAAAAAACAGTTCCCTCTAGAGCCTAACAGATTTACGTAGCGAGTAATTAATCTAATGCGTAATAATATTTTACAATTTAATACCGTTATTCATAAATGTCATAGGCAATCTGTGTGTGTAGTGCCATAGGGCAGTGAATTCGCTATCAAAATGAAAGATCGTACTGCCATAGATATTTACATTGTACGTATAAAATTGCCGTTGAGACTGCCAATTGGTTTGTTTGCTAATTCTTTTTCAAAATGACTTATTGGAAGGAAAAAAGGCCATTAGAACGTATGACGATCGTTACGGCATAAGATTCAGTTAGGATCTATATAATTTCTAATGATCATTCGCACGACAAAGAAAACTTTTATTTTAAATCACTACGATAGACACACAGTGACTGTATCGTTGAATCCATGGAATTCCCCATTGTAATTAATTGATCGCTGTGATGAAAAGACATAATATTTAATAGAATCAGAAGATACCATGCTCGTTTCTTTGTTTCACCCAGCGAGTATCTTATTATTTGATTATTCGTTCTCATTGCAAAGTCAACGTCGCATTCAACGTGGAGCTTAATTTGCGATATAACCTTTGTTTTTTGCCGGAACGTCCGTTCGATTCCGATACAGTCACCACACGATGAACACGACCAAAGCTGCAGAATGTCTGAAAATACAGGAGGGCACTAGAAACCGCCGGTGATATGACCAGAACAATCAGTCAAAGTGTCAGGCGAAAATATCGCTTTAATACGGGACTTACGTTAGATAGACAATGATATTATGCAAAACTACATATACTCGACGATCTTGTATAATGTGTATGTTAGTTCATTTCAAATACGGTTTCACTTCCTTTTTCCACAATTTCGTGAGTCCAGTAGTCGTCGGTCCAAGTCAAGCCGAGATACGTCCGTCAGTAAATTTTCAAGGATAATCGTTAACCAACCACGAGAGCAACATGGCCGAGATCCTTAAGAAGTGGGAATCGTCGGATCAGGACCGTAAGAGGTACTATTTCGTAAGCACATATGTATGGGCAGACCAGTACCACGTATACCTTGGTTTATGCCTAGGCTACTTCAATAATCCTATTATGGACTTTGACTGAGTCGCGAGCGTCTCTAATCCGACGATCGCGGATTTCAAACGAGCCCCGAGGAAAACTTCGTTGGCTGCACTCTCGTTGGGAATATTGTCCAGGCCAAATTCGAGTTCGAATCGCGTGACGAAGTTCCGGACGCGTACAGGGTTTTGCCCGTTGATTGGTCCGTAGTGCCCCGTAGCGGCTTCAACTTTTGCGATTAAGCGTCAAACTTGTTTCCAACTGGAAAACGAGAACCCGATCGAATGGGAGAAAGAGAGACGGAGAGATCCCGAAAGAAATACAGAAAAGGGCAGATAACACGCGATAGATATGGATGCTCGATTCCGAACGTTTTATACCGGGTCACTTTATAATAAAATCAAGACTTTAATCAGAGCGCGAATCCACTTCCGGTTCGCCAATTTTATTAGTGTAATTGGACGCTGGGCTTGTTTAATGAGAATGTGGTGAAAATGGAAGTGCCCCCGACATTGTATGTATTGTATGTAGGAGATTAGGAATCATTGGGTGCTACCATCCCGCTATCGGCGCGGGACTAGGAAGGATCGCAGTGTGCGCGATAACGAATGGGATATGAGTGAGTATAGTTTGTGTGTACATAGGAGCCCTGTATATAGTCATAGAATTAAATACATCCGATATAGACCCATAGGTACCTATACGAGCACGTATGTGTTACACTCGATTAGATACTACACATAGAGACTTATTACCTATATTATTTACCTATGTACCAGCGACATCCCTTACCCTACCAAACAGCTCTTAGATTTATACCTACCTAATACTACACTTAACATTAATGACTAAACGCTACACTATCATCTATACTGTAACAAATTGTATTATATTTTATATATATAAATATGTAAATGTTTTTCTAACTGAAGTTCTTTCAATTACATACCTCCCAGCGCATTCATCCTTCGATTAAAAAATAGTTTATACTTCATAAAAATGTTATATGGTTCAAGATACTGTGTGGAACAGGTTCTTAATAATTGAATGTAAAATCTGTTTTTTTGAATTTTAATTAATTAGAAAATTGCATTGTGGTACTGGAGATGTGACGCATCGGCACAGAATGCAAATTACTGTAAACTATTTTTATTTTAGGGTTTTACCGTAATATTTATTTTTTAAAAATTTAGACCTTAATTTTAGGTTAAAGGTCACGCTCGAGCGTTTAAATGAGTAATGACTCCATTTGATAAAGTGGAGTGTTTTTATGAGACTCTTATCGATCAGATTTATCTACGTACTATTAAGGGAAGAATTCATTAAGACTTCAGTAAGAAGCACGAATTAAATTTTACCTTCACTTCAACTCGAATCACGATTCTATCTTGAATTTCCTTTAGTTTTACGTTTCCGCAAAACGACGTTGTTACTGCTAATCCTGCGGATATCAAGGATCCTGGCATCTCTCCAAAATGCTGCACCTTCCCTTTACAATGGCAGTGGCATATCGCGTGTAAATCTTCCACTAGGATTGAATACTCTTCGTGATACAACACTATCTGTGGGGTAAGTGGAACGTACTATACACTTAAAAAAAAAAGAAAGAAAGAAGTGAAGATAAAAACTGGTGCATTGGTAAAATCTCGAATTAATCAAACATTCGAAAGAGTAATAAAATATTACGTACAATTGGGTCAACTTAAAAAAAAGCTTGTGCAACTGCAATAATTTTAAATATAAAAAACAAGTATTTTTTGTCCATCAAAATCATGAATTTCTTCAAGTACGCACCAGTGATATATAGTTATATACATATATTTTCCTAAAAATATGTATAATTAGTTTTACTTTGTTACGCGAAACATTAAAACTTTTCGAGGCAAATCAGGTTCGTGAATTCCCTGAGATGAGATCCATTGTATCAAAATTATTTAACTTAACGAGACAAGTTGAGTCCCAAAAATGTGATTCTGCCACCTCAGCTTTACTTAGTAATTTAGAAACTGCACTTTCAATTTAATCAGATTAATCAATTCACCAGTAGGATGTCGACGTATTCGTTTTAAGCCAAGCGAACTCGCATGACTGATTAATATTACGTGACTACACGAAGCTGATATCATCCTTTCCACCAGAAACCCTAAAACGTAATCTTATGCTTATAATTATATATAAGTGGTACTATAGTTGGTGCTACAAGTATTTAGCTAACTCAGCTGTTATTGGCAGTTCGAATTGCCACTCTAACTTCGCTCTCAAGTACCTAGATCTTAGATTTAGCAAAGCGTCCAAGTTCCAATTCATTAATGAGCAAAT